GCAAAGCAGCAGATCCTTCCATCTTGACAGCCTGTGGCTCCATCCTCTGGAACACACAGGGTTCCACACTGTGATCAGCCAAGTGACTTGCTTACTCAAATATTTGTCTGATATTGCTCATTGGGCAGAATTACTTGGAAAAGGCACCAGTCCAAATGTTGGTGCTGTGCTAATTAATCCCAACAGCACTGAAATACTCACACATCAGTAATTTACAACTAAAACAACGAGCTGATGTCTTCTGGTGTTGAGGTTACATCACAGAGGACGCAGCAGACGTATGGAAGAGCTATCAATGTGCTGAACTACCATTTGAGTTGCATCTCTTTAACTTCACTGTGCGTGGCAAAAATGCCACATTCCTCAGGGGGTACAGCATGGGGTTCTGCCTGCACAGCAAGACAGCTGTAGTATGAACAGCCATCTCAATTAGTGCTCCGCTGTGGCTGACACTTTCAGGATCTCCCATCAGAACAGATGGCAATCCATTCATCACAAGAGACAGTGCAAATTTCTGCAGGTCTGGAGAATTCAGGAGTCTGGAGTTTTGGATGAACTTTGTCACAGCATCTCTTTGCTGAAAGCACATATTTAAAAGAAATGAAACCAGCATCATTGCCCATCAGACTGAAGAGGACAGCTTCTTCCCATGCTGTGTTTTTCCCTGCCTTGAAAACACATTTGCCCAGATCAAGGCATAACCAGAATAAAAATGTTCTTCCACCAATGATTCACATCTCTCTTACCCTTATCAATGAAACATGTTTGTCACAGGCCCCCAGAATGAGGTGTCTTACCTGCTGCTTGGGATGAAGACTTGAGTCACTAAACTGACACTTTTGACCTCTAGCCAGAAGCAGATGGACAGATTGTACAGCTGGGTTGCTGCTAGAGGCCTGAAAAAGGAGAGCTGATGATTGAAGACAGAAGAGGTGACTGTTGTTATAGCTGAATGTTTACAAGGCTTCAGGTGGTTACTGGATCAGCAAGCTTCAGCAGGTCTGCATTAAAGCTCTGCACATGTGAAGGGGGGTAGCGCAGACATTGCTGTTCAAGTCGTAAATGAGTAATTTGACAGCCTTCAAGATGATTGTGTGTTTTATTTATGAAACTTCAAACATTCTGTTCTCATCTAGTTGGAATTGCAATCCCACTACATAGCACTGTATGTGTGCCAACCTCCAAACCAACACACAAGTGAAGAAAAAACATTACTGATGAACGTGAGATGGGCTGCTACGCCAACCAGTGCTGGGAAGCAGATCCTCTTTGTGCTGTAAGTGCTGGGCTGTGGAGCAGCTGCAGAGGATGAGGACAAGGCTTCCAACCCCCAGCGTCCACCAGGAGGGGCTGTGGGACACCCCCTGCATATGGCCCTGCATATGGCCTCATCCATGGCAGTGACCATGCCAACGTTCTGTGAGGCTGCAAGGAGAGGAGCATGGCTGGGAGCGCTCAGCACTCAGTCCCCTGCTGCCCCCTCGGAGCCCTTGGCCCCCAGAAGGGCCCCCTCCTGCCTGCTGCAGCTGTACCAAAAGCCTGGGCAACAGCACAATGCCAGCAGGCTGCAGAGCAGGGAGGAGGATCCTGGCAGCATGGGTGAGCTTTGGGAACAGGAAATAAGGGCCCTTCTTGTGGGTAGGATCCACGCAGCAGGTTCTCCTCCAGCTCCAGGCCCTGAGATGCCTCCAACCCACCCCATGGTGCTCCACTGAGGTCTTCACCCCAGTCCCCCCCAGCCCCTGTCCCCTGGTTCTTTGCACAGCCTCACACTGCAGCCCCAAGCCTTTTGGTGAACCATGAAAGAAGAAGCATTGCAGCTTCAGAAGACCTGCAGTGCTGCCAGCAACCAGCATGGCTCTGGGAGTGGGGTGAGCGTGGGGCAGAGCACAGCCCCTGGCGTGCTCTGGCTGAAGCTAATGGTGATGGAACCAGCTGACATAAAGACATAATGACTGGTCAGGAAACGAAGCCAAAAGGAAACCTGCATAGGATAAGCAGCACTAAGTGCTGTGCTGGTGTGAAGGGGAACACGGGGCATCAGTGCACACACACACACACAGAGCACTGAAGGAATTTTGGCCATGTCCCATCAAAACTCGCACAGCTGACTTAGTTAACAGTGCAGTTTACTACTAACAGATGACAGGTTCTTTTGGAATGCCAGTGAAGAATTCACTGTCTGCAAAGTGTGTGAGGTTAACCAAGAATAATACAAAGCATGTGCAAAGAACTAAATGTAATACAGCCTGACTACCAGCATCCTAAGGTATGAAACAGCTCCATAGAGATTACTAAGTTTCCTAGGGAAGCATTCAGCATAGCCAAGTGTGCAAACCTTACCCAAGGTGAGTCCCTATGGGGGGAGGAGAGGCTCAGCCCATTGACAGATCCTAGGGATGAGAGATGGCCCATGTCTGACTTTTCTGCAGTGGGATCTTCCTTAATCTTCCCTCCTTCTTGACCCACTTCTATCATAGAATCATAGAATGGCTTGGGTTGGAAGGAATCTAAAAGATCACTGAGATCCAACACCCCTGCCATGGGCTGCTTTCCAACGTTCTTTTCAGGATGACCAGAGCTCCCATCCAACCTGGCCATAAATACCTCCAGGGCTCATGCTCAGTGGGTGTCAGAGGGGTGATCACACCTTGGAAGCAGGCATCCTTTGGGACAGAGGTGTGTTTTGGTATTATAATAAGGGTATAATGAGCAAAGTTCACCCAAGGACAGCTTTTTGTCAAAAAGATGACAGACTTGGGGAAGTAGTTTAGCACCACAAAGTCCCCATCCTAGCACAGTTCTTGAAGTCAGTACATCAGTTCTCACCTTGGGCTGCTTAGGGAACTACTGTGGGTCACAGAACTTGGCTGTGGAGCTCCACTCCACTCCACCTTCTTTGCAGTTTAGTGGCATGGAGGCTGCACTCTGCTCTTGTACACCTGTGAACGACCAGTACCTTAATTTCCAGTGAACAACGCTACACCTTAAGCAATTATCCCACATACTCTACCCTGTGAGTACCCATGCTAAGCTACATGATATTCAGAAGGAATGAGGAGTGTCTTGTGAGGATTATCAGTCACATCAAATGCGTATATATCTTGTGAGTATGGCAGATGAGCTTAGCGTTCCCCCATATTCCAAAATCTAACATCCATGGTAATTATCAAATTAAGGCAGAGAGTGGCGCGTATTAGTTAAATAACAACATGGTGATGCTTCCAGTAGCAGTTGGTGACCATCTGAAAAGAGGGTCCCACTCATGATATTCTTCATCCTTCTTCACTCTTTGCAGGACAGAGTGCACTGCTTCTACAATGTGATGGACAGTCATCAGAGTTTTTTGTCCATTTTCTCAAACCTGCTTCAACAGCCACTTCAGGTCTTCATCATAGCCACCCAACCTGCACAGGCAGCTCAGCCACCTTCGTGTACACCAGCCTTGGTCCCCTCAGCATTGCTGTCCTGCAGGGTAGGGGTGGCCTGGGGGATCACACTGTGCTGCAAGGCTCATTGCTCCCATGGCCACCATGTGCCACTTCCTCCATGTATGTCCCTTGCTCTGTTCCATGCATACCACCAGCCCAAGCAGAACTGCTGGCCCAATATGCAGCCATTGGGTCATAGACATGGGGTGGGCTGGTGCCTGCATGCAGATCTCCCTCCTGCTGGGAGCTGCTCAGGGGGCACAGCAGAACAAGGACAGTGGGCATGGGGAGTGACCTCATCCAGAAGGGCACAAAGCTGTAGGGAGCTGGCCAAGGGGCAGCTGCTGCTTGGGGGTTGCTAGGCATCAGTCAGTAAGTAGCAAGTGATTGTGTTGTGAATATATAAATATATAAATATAGTTTTTATCTCATTCTTGTTTCCATTTTCCTTTTCTGTCTTAGTAAATGGTTTTTAACTCAACCCACAGGTTCTATTTTGTTTTCAGTTCTCTTCCTCATCCCACTAAGGGGGGGAGCGAACGAGTGGCCATGTGATGCCAAGCTGCTGCTGGGTTAAACCACAGCAGTTAGAAATGCTGTATCATACCTCATGGTTTGCATGGTGCAAGATGGCTTAAGACTTGGATGGGAAAACAATTCACTCCAGAAAACGAGCCTAAGGGAGCGGAATTGTCCCTGAGCTTGTGTGCTGTGCAGCAAGTAGGCACTGTGCATGGCAGTTCTGCTAGGCACTGTTTGGATTGTGCTGTGCAAGGGGTTGTTGGGCTGTTAGAGGATGTTCTGAGTGCTGGATGCACTGGACTTTCATTCTCTATCTGAGGTATATTCAAAGGTACACCTCTCTTCTGCCCTGTCTCCAGCCCTATCTGCTGCCTGTACCTTGAACCAGTGCTGTAGCTTTATCTCTAGTCTTGTCTTTGGGTCCTTCTGTTCCTCCTGACTCGATTCTTTGGATGGTTTTTGCACCTCACCTTGTTTGAGCCTGTCAGTGCAACATCCAACTGCCACCAGTCCTGTCCTGCTCTCCTCACCTGGTGCTGTGGGGCTGCTCACTCTTGTTTCCCAGCTCATGCACCTTTGTGGAGCAGCCCCACTTTGGCTGCTTTGTGGCAGTTTTGCTGAACAATGATTGTGCTGAGCAGAGGTCATACAACACAGGGACTGTCTGGACTGTGCAGTGAATGTTTTTTGCAGTACATTCTGTGATGTAGGTTCTTGGCCATGCATCCAGTGGTGTCAAGGAAAGTGCAGAAGCAGGCTCACAGGAGCTGGGTACCAGTGTCCTGTTTCTTTGCTGTCTATGTGATGCCATACTTCTACTACCTCTGTCTGGCCACCTCCAAGAGAGAAGACTGAAGGACTTTCCTATCAGAGCAGGGTGTTATGTAGTGCCCTAAGCAGCCCTTGAGCATCACCCAGCAGTCAGCCCTTGCACCTTCCCCCGTGCCAGTGCTCATATGACTGCCAGCAATGACTGACATGCACCCACACACCCCAGTGCCCGATGGGACGCATCACAGAGCAGAGGAAAAGCTGTGTGGGGTTAGCACAGTGCAGCTTTATTTCCGTGGAGCAGGAGGAAGTTCTCCCCCACGGGTTCAGATCCCATAGCACACAACTTGCCAGCCCACAGCCATACCCCACCACAGCTTTTGCTAGCCAGCCCTGTGGCCAGCTGCAGCACCCCTGCTTAAGAGGCACGGTTCCCACAGTCAGGTTCCCCCGCTATGGGGACAGCCATAGTTCCCCTCACTTACACAGCCCTTCTGCTAGGCAGATGCAGGAGCACGCTCAGGCTGCCCAGGTCCTGCTGGAGCAGCGATATGCAGAGCGAGGCACTGCTGGGTACTGCCAGGCCTGGGCCGGATGAGAGCCACCTCCCAAGTGCTGCGTGGGGATTTTAGATCCCTGCAGGGATCCCCGCGGGGCTGCCAGGCAGGTTTGCAAGTGGCTGCATGACTGCACCTTGCTCAGACCATTTCCACCAGTTTGGCAGGGAGCGGTCATGGTGGTGTAAAGCACAGAGTGGGCTGCAGGGCTGGAGGGCAGAAGGGCGCTGCACATGGGGTTTCCATCTCCCCCTTACTCGTGGGGGGGCACTTTGAGGCTGCCACACAGAGAGGAACAAAGCCAACACTTGGGTCAGGTGCCTATAAACCCCCTCACAAACAAAGCTCAGCTACAGGGAAACACACACACACACACACTGGGCCACGGTCAGCACTCCCCAGAGGACACAGACAGAGGTGACGCGGGAGGCAGGAGGAGGTGGGGGTCCAACACCCGGCCTGGTGCAGGGCAGAGCTGCCCAAACCAGGAGCCGTAGGGGCCGTGGCCGAGGGCAGGTCCTGCCATGCCCTGCCCTGCCGCCTCCTGCCCCTCTCTGCGGCACGCAGCACTGCCCCGGGGCACGGTGGGCAGCGAGACCCGTGGGGAGTCGCATCACCCCTCTGATGCGTCCTGCCGAGAGTGCTGCAGGTTGCGAAGAGAACTGAAAAGTGCTTAGAAAAGAGAGAAATCCCTAGAAAACCCACCCCAGACAAGAGCCCGACCTCGCCTCCCTGCCCACGGCATCCCTGCTGGCCCGGGGCAACACCACAGAGGAAGGGGGGGCCGGGGCCGGGGCCAGCTGGGGTGGGAGGCACTCGGAGCACCCAGGCTCGCCCCATCCCTGCCTTCTACACCAAGGCGTAGTCAAACTGGCCCCTCTCCAACCCCTCCTTGTGGTCAGTCCAGGAGGAGGCAGGCATGCGGCTGTAGGGGTCCAGCAGGATGCGAAAGCAGCGCACCATCAGCATCACCAAGAAGACGAGGAGGAAGATGACAAAGGCAAAGACGGTTTTCTGCTCGGCATCCATGCCTGCAGTGCTGGCTGGGTGCTCAACCAAGGACGGGGACAGCAGTTCATAATCCATCGTCGATGCATCATTCATGGCAGATCTGAGGCACAGGAGCTGCAAAGAGCACGAGGACAGGGAGCATCGGGGCTTGGGCAGCCAGCTCCAGCCTCCTGCTGTGCACCTGGAACACCACCTGTACTGGTCACTCCATAGCCACCAGCACTGCTAAGCTGAGCCAAGGAGCTCAGGATTCACTCCTGTGCAGACCGAGAGCTCCTGGAAGGAGAAGCAGAGATGGAGAGAGAGGAGGAATTGGCCACGGGCTTCAGCTAAAGAGCACCTTAGCTGCTAAATAATTAGAGACGGGAGAGGGCAGGGAAGAGTCTCTGTTGCCAGAACTGCAGTTATGTGCTTGCTGATGCAGCCAGACAAGCAGTCAGTTATCCAAGAGAAAAGCCTGGGGACAGTGATATTTATGGCCAGAGGCTGAATTTGCTACGTATTTTCAGGTAGGAAATGTGGAAATAGTATTTGTTAATTGAAAAGTAATACTTTCAGCTTGAAACTTTTCTTAATTGTTATTGTTTTAAATCCAGCTTCTAAACTGTCAGCATTCACCAGGAGTCATTTTTGCTTTAATCAATTTAAAAATCAGAGGGGTTATTTTTTTTTACTTTTGGCAGCTGAAGAAGTAAGAAAACCAACAGGGGAGGAGGAGTAAATGTAGGGAGGAAGTGCTTTGTAGAAAGTGAGGAAATCTCCCTTATCACCTCAAAGGCACAGGTTCACAAGTGGGTCTACGGTTTTCTGGCAAGCTCAGGAAGCACTGCCACAGTGATGCCACTCAGCAGGGACACAAAGGAATGGGGTGGGTGGCAACTTAGTCTGCTAGTACTGAGCTTGCCTCTCTACATAAATCCCCAGCAACCTTCTGGAGATGCTGTCTGCCTGCCAAGCACAGTGCTGCAGGACCACTTGGGACCACTTGCCCTGAATCACAGGAACATGTAGACTGAGACCTTAGCTGTCAATCTGAGCAGGTTTCTCAGGGCTTTAGCTGTCTGGTCTTGACAATTTCCCAAGATGGGCACAAGCTCAGAATTTGCCCATTCTCCAAGGATGATGTCTCCAGCTGCTGTGTGTCCCTTGAGCTAATGACTGCCTTCAGTTTTGCACCAGGCTTAGAAGGGGCTGAGTCCTGGAGGAGAAGTAGAGCACCTACCTCACTCCAGCTGTGTGGGTGCACTAGCATTGCTGTTGCAGGAGAAGCAGAAGACTGCCTCCCAACAGCCACATCACTGAGCAAAGATCTCCAGGATCCAGCTTCCTTGGGCTAGGGATGAAAAGCAGAAAGACAAATTGACAGAAGTTAAAAGAACAGCAATCATTTAGCAGTCATAAAAAGCAACTAAGACATTCCTGATTTAGCAAATGCTGTGAGTTCTCAGTGTCTCTTAGATCAGCTCCTGGGTAGGAGAATATCTTTACCAATGTCCCCTTGCTCCATTCTGGAGCCTGAGTGCTCTTAGTGTTGTGGAGACTGCAGCAAAAGGTCCCACTAGGAGACATCCAGCCAAGCGTGCCCCTGCCCTCCAGGCAGCAATACTGGGAGCAACTATCAGTGGGAAAAGGCAGCCAGCTATGGACCACAGAATGTTTGACATGGCTCTGACTCATGCTGAACACCTGCTCTCTTTCCTTTATCTGCACCTCCTGGGACACCACAAGGAACAGTGCTTGCAGGCTTTACAAATAATTTCATATCACAAAAACAAAAAAATAAAGGGCAACAGCAGCAGCAAGGTGAGAAAGAGGGGTGTGCTCTGTCCACCTTCCTGAGTCTCAGGACCTGCCTGCTGTCAGTTGCAAGACAGTGACCCAGTGCCCTGTGATCTGTATAGAGGTAAGCTATTCCTGTTTCTGAGCACACTGTGAATGGAAACGGTGATGGCAGCAGAAGGATGCTCTGATATCTGTCACAACTTCCTGCAGCAGAAGTGATCTGCCACTTGTTGGAGATTGGCTGATCCTCATGTGCTGCACTTTTCAGTCCAGCACTGTTTGTGATCAGGGGGTGGAAGGCACTTAATAGACAAATCCCCTTCCTCCTGTCCTTGCTTGAGAAGCCTAAACAGGCAAAAGCAAGATTTGATAGCAAAGAGGCTGAACGGTTGTGGGCACAGACCTGAACAGAGCTGAGCACAACTGCTCTCTGGTCTCTTTTCACCCTATTTATTTGGTACTCTCCCTTCCCAGCATATCTTTTGTGTCTAGGCCAGACATGGAATGTTCTCTTGATAGGCATTTCTACAGCACTGTGCAGTACAGCCTAGTTCTCCCACTGGCACAAAGCACCACCAAAACATGCCTCTCCATAGAGGTGATGAGCCCTGAGCTGGCATCTATGCCGATACTTGGCCAAGTATCTCTAAACTCCAAATACTGACCACTCCAAAACAGCTTTCTCGACACTTCCACTAACACCAGTTTCCCAATTAGATGCCAAGGCTTCATATGTCCTTTGAGGGTGAGTAGGATCTTTACTCTCATTTGTCAGCTACATTATTGCAAGGGAATACCCACTGCACATCTCCAAAGGGAAACTACTAACATCCAATGTCCAGATGAGAGGATGTTTGTCACCCCTAGGATGACTCCATTCAGAAATCCCTTGGATTGTTAAATGCTCATCATGCTGAGGTTTACACCCACCTCCCATATATTCTCAACCAAGCATGGAGTGCTGGAGAGCCCAGCTCAAGCAGTGTGGAGCCTGTGAGTCTGCCAGATATGACCTTTTAGCATTTCAGGAAAGCACCAGCTCTCATGAGGCACCTCTCCAGGACAGCACATGGGGTTGTCATCTCCAATGACGTGTGGCCCTGGCGGGTTCTGGTCCACAGTGCTCTCACAAGAAGTCCCTTTGAAACACAGATATATACCCTGATCTTGGGAAATAATGCTGGTCCAGGACCCAACCATCTGCTGGCAGGTCTATGTAGGAAGACCAGGACTGCTCAGTCAAGCAGTGCCATGAGTAGAGAGAAGCACTTCTCGTACCTTCTCTGTCAGGGATTTTGACAAATATATCATCTGATCTCAATGAGTACAAATTGCAAATATTAGATTTCTCTGGCAGTTCCTGGCCTTCCCTGGTAGCAGCTGCCCAGGCAGTCAGTTAGGCTCCCTCAGGCCTACACTGGCGAGCCTCGGACTCTCCCTTGTTCGTGCTGTGGATTCTCATGGCGTGAGTACTGCATCAGGAGGGCAGAAGGATGGGGGTGAATGAGCTGAGCTGGGAAGTTTTCCAGCTGAGCAGGAAACACATTTCTTAGTCAGTAGAGAATGGCCAGGCTCAGAGCACAGTGCCTTGCAAAACTTGGCTCCTCACACTCTGCAAGGGGTGGTCAGTGGTCCAAAGGTGGATGTGAACCATGAAGATGAGGACAGCGTTGGGAATGAAGCATCCCTGGGGCCTCAAAGTGAGCTGACTTCTTTGCTGGGAAGCTCTTCAGATTAGTCTGATGTTCCCACGGAAAGATGGTGGTCAGACACAGGGTGAGCACAGGAGCAGATGATGGTTCCACGTGACCCAATCAGAGGGGCTGCAAAGATGATTCAGAGCCTGGAGCATCTTCTGCATGAGGAAAGACTGAGAGCCGTGGGACTGTTCAGCCTGGAGAAGAGAAAGCTGAGGGGGGATCTCATCACTGTTTATAAATATCTGAAATGAGCCAAGTCGATGGAGGCGGACTCCTTTTGATGGCGAACAGCAGTAAAACAATGGGCAGCAGGAAGAATCTGGAACACAGGAAGCTCCACGGTAACACAAGGAAGAACTTTATTGTCAGAGTGACAGAGCACAGGAGCAGGCTGCCCAAGAGAGGTGGGGGAGTCTCCTTCCATGGAGACATTCAAGACCCATCTGAACACCAACCTGTGTGACCTATTGAAGGAAACCTGCTTTAGCAGGGGGATTGGACTCGATCTCTAGAGGTCCTTTTCAACACTTTCAATTCTGTGACTTTGTAATACTAAGTGACCTTCCAACAGTTTCTGAAGATCCCAAGCTAGAGTGTCAGATGTTCATGGACCTTTTTGTAATTCAATTTCATAGAGCTGAAGAGAGAGCAAAGCTAAAATGTGTAGGTGGGAACCAGCTGCTGTTCCACAGGAGTCATTCAGCAACGTTATCTTATAACTTCCACACACAGCACAGTCACTTTCTGCATACACACAGAAATTTTTGGCCACAGCTGTCAGAATTCAGACCTTGGTGAAAATAGTTCAGAGATCAAATAAAAAAAAGCAACCAGGCTCCTTATCACAGGCTCCTTCTTTCCCTCTGCCAATTATTCTTCCAGAAATTATATTGCATGAAGCTGTGGGGCTGAAAGTTGCAATAATCCCTGCAGAGAGAGCTCTTCCCAAGTGCTAGCTATCTATTCCAACTCGGTGCTGGGATAACTGGGGCCTTCTGTTATCTGGTCATCTGTGATTGCACAAAGACAGCATCTCAGAGTCCAACCCTGCACCAAGAGCCCTAACTCCATGTCTTGCATTAACATGGCAGAGCATCCCTGCTTTGTGGCTACCAAGAAGCCACAGCTGGCCGAGTGACTTCCACCAGCTGCAGCCCTCCACCAGAGACTTCAGTGGAGATTCATGCTTCCCATGGACACATCTGGGTTAGGAGAGTTCCAATTCATAATCCTTGGTACCAGCAATGCTGAAAACAGGTCCTGCTTCTATATAATCAACTCAAGCACAAATCATGTGTCTGGAGGTGCCCAACTGACTTATAACTGATATCAAAAATGCAGGCAGAAACATGCATATGCAGGAGAAAATACAAGGTTTTCTGCCAAATAGTAGCCCTGTATTAAAGTATTTCTCTCGCATTCAGGATGTGTTGCTTTTTTATTACCATGTGAAGAATCAGATCTTAATTTCCCAAGAAAATGCTGGTAAGATAGTTAAATGAAGGCAGCTGTTATTTAAGGAATATGTGATTGAGTTTTATTAAGATTCATGTTCCCTTAGTAACTAAAAAGAATGCATGAGCAAGGAAATTACTAAATGGGGAGAGAACTCACAAAGGAAGAGGACTGTCAACTATTTAGCAACGCTGCGGGGATATTTTTACGGGTACAAAACACAAATTAAATGTTAATTTGGCAAATGACAAATATCTAATGAAATATTAACCTTAAAAAGAGGCACAGAGTAGTCTTTACAATGCAGGATGCCATC